CAGAAGCAACAGGAATCACAATATCAACAATAACAACTACACCATCAATCGGTACCGGCACCACGACCATTAGTCCGGAAGCTACAGGTGGCGCGACGTCGGAAGCCACAAGTACTCGTTCCGTTGGCACTGATTCTGTGGTCACCACATCGACTTCCACAACTACTAGCACAACCTCTACTACTACGACTTCGCCGATTGGTAAGTTGATAGATTGACTATGATTTTGAAGAACGAGATGGTATTGCATCATGATTGTAGATAGAATAGTCGTTTCAAATTTTGTTCAAAATGTTGAAGGACGGAATCTTGCAATTCTTTTTTGTTATTTTTAGACTGTAGTTTTCAGGAGCGAATTGTATCAGATTGCGTCTTCGATGGTAGTTCTTCCAACGTTTGCAACGACTCCACTAGAGGTACGCAGAGTGTAGAAAGAACATGGATGTGTAGTAATGGCACTAGTTCCGTTGAGACCTTGTCTGTGCTTTGTGTTCCAACTTGTCCAGGTAAGTGTAGAGATCAGTTTGGGACGTAATTCTTGTGTAATTGGTAACGTTTCGGTTTCTCTGTAGTGACCGAAGTCGGTTTTAATTCTACTCCGACAGCAATCAATCTGAACATGCGTATCACCCCGATACCTTTACCTTTTTCCTACCAATACACGAATGAGTCAGTTGCTCACAAAGTTCTCTGGGTAAGAATAATAAAGATATGATTCATCACGAATTGATGTACTCTGTAAACAGGTGACAGACAAAGGCTATATAACGCTGGATAAACCCCTTTATGCTATCGAGCCATCACAAAACGAGTTACCAGATATTCCATACATCGCACCGCTTTGGACAAATCTCATGTATGTGAACAGTACAATTATTCAGGTGAGCTTGTATATTTCATTATCCTATGCTTTAATTCGACTGGAATAAATTCATTTCATTAGTCGACCATTTATACTGGATTGTCTAATAACACATCAGAATGGACGAAAGTACAAGACACTGTGGTTAGAGTGAATGAGAACCCGATTAATGAGGAAACAGCAGTATATCGTGTCGTGAAAATACGATGGCAAAACTTATTGACAAACATTGATGGTATTACTACCGGAAACTCTCGATCGAGTTTTGATGTATAAAGCGAAGTACATTTTTTATTTAACTTAAAGTTTCTTTTATCGTAGAGCATTCTATTTGATGCGTATTTGATCAATGGACCTGGAAAAGGATTCACTGTATGGAATTCCTATCTTCGATTTGAATACAATATCGTTACATCTGTTGTAAGTCCGAATTATCAGCCGGTTGTTATCGGTAAGACTACCAGAAGTACAAATCTGGTTTTATTCTTTTTTAACAATCCTTTTTTTTATCACAGGTTATCATACTGAGAGTGCAACCTCGCATAAGTCTAGTGTTTCATTCACAAATAAGATTACTACTTTCATTAACGGTAATTCTTTTTGTTTTTGGAAACTAATAAAAGTTCTTTTCTAGTCACTAATAAGGCGCGAACATATTTTCTAAGTTCGAAGTTGTTGAGTACATGTGAAGCATGGTATTGGAAAAAGTACACAGATATTTTATTTAAACGTACGGCAAATCTTACGTAAGCTTGCTTTACTTTAGCTCAATTTAATAAGCTCATATTTGTTATTAGGACTGTTAAACGAAATCCATGTCCTTGTTCATACCGTCAAGCTTCATTAGATTTTCGATTTTCTGAATCAAGGAGTGAAAATCGTTTAGAAAGAGCCTATAATATATCATGTTTTGTTCCATCAAGTGGTTTTGCACAACGAACCTCAAGTGCAAGATCTTATCAACAGGTGAATAGATCTGAGAAAAAACATAATATTTGTCGTTTAATTTAATACATTATTTAGACATGTTGTTATGATGTCAATGAAGGATCTATAATTACATCTGGTCCATTTGCTGGATCTGTTCTTGATACGGCAGCATTAGAATCATTACGATATAGCGGAAGTCGACCACAACGCATTAAAGAACGGTAAAAATATTTCATTTTTTTTTGTTGTTTCCACTTCGTTACATTTTCTATAATTAATTTCATTTTAGGGATGATTGTTGTATAGCAAGAAATGGTACACTTGATTGGTCTAGATGGTGTAATTTATATTATGAAATTAGACCACCAAGTATATGTGATGGTTATGAAACACCATTAAAAGGTAGATTATTAAATGAATTATATTTTAAACTTAATCTGAATTGTTTTAGCTTGGCTCGGTGGTGATCCACATATAGAAACATCAAGTAATAGTGCTTATAGTTGTAATGTATTCGGTTCATTTATATATGCTGAAACAACTAGTGATGCAAATACAACAGCAAATAATAATACGAATACAAGTTCAACATTTCTAAAAACTTTAGTAAGCAATGAATTATTTTCAATTATTGCTCGAACAAGTAAAACTCCATCACGTTTACGAATTGATCAATTTTTTAATCAATATATAACTTATTTTTCATCATTTTCAATGTATCTTGGATCAAATCGTGATGTAATAATTGATGTTAATATTAATCCATCAGATAGTTATCAACTTAGTAAGAAATATTTTATAATAAATCATTCAGTTAACTATAATTATCATTCTTTTATCTTGAAAAATTTATTTAGATGTAAATTATTTACTTAAAAATGAAAATATTCGAATAAATCCATTTAATTCATCAAATGATTTTGTTAAATATTATTATTATCCACCATCATTGAATGATGCATCAGAATTTGCATTTTCAATAATTAGAGAAAATCAAACAATAACAGCAACTAATTGGAATGTATATAGTTCAGAAAACAGAATTCTACCAGTACAAATTCAAGTACCAAAATTAACTATATCGATTTGGTCTGGTAAGTTAAGATTAGAGATGTGTAGGATAAGCTGTTTTTTCATAGCTTGTAACCTGACTAAAAAAATTTTCTTATCTTTATCCTATCCTGCTCTGCCCTGCCGAGTAGGATAATTCTACACATCTGTAGTTAAGATTTTAATTTTAATAAATTTTTTTGTTAAAATTAATTCTAAATAGGCTTAGCTATGCAATGTTATGTTATAACAAATAATATGGCATGTACATTATTATTACCACAAAAATATTTTGGTAATGTTCGAGGTCTTGCTGTTGGTGATAATACAAGTAATCCAAATCAATATTGTGCTAACTGTATGTATTATTAAGAAAAGAATTTAGGTTTTTTTTTCTTTTTCAATGAAGAATTCTTTATTTTTTTTTTTAAAGATTCCCTTATATTAAATGAAACCGAACAACAATCATTAACAAGCAATAGTATTTTAGAATGGTTTAATAGGAGTGCATCTAATACGTATCAAAATTATATAAATAATTTGGCATGTCCAATGAGTAGAACATCGCCAACATACAAATTTTGTGTACAAGATACAATTCTTTCCCAATCACCTCTATTAGGACAAATAACTGTAAAAAGTTCAAATGATTATCAATTAGCTAATCAATTTCTTAGTAATAAAAACACATACATACACACATTTGATATCTTAATTGTTTTTTTTTGTTTATTCTATTTTTTTTTAAGGTAGAAATCCTCCAATGGTGACATTACTATCACCAGCATCATTAAATACGCCATATACATATTTATTAACCATACGATATAATGATACATTTCAAAATCAAACAAATGCAGCTATCAGTGTGAGAATTGATCGAAATTCATCTATTACTGTTCAAATACGTGATGGAAACATGAGTATTCCTATAGATTGTATAAAGCAAAATTCATTTTACTCATGTCCATTCGCATATACAAACGAAAATAGAAATCAACTTCAATTAACGTATGTATCAGAAAATTTTCAAAAGTTTTCACTATCTCCTTTTTTTTGTGGAAATTATTAACAATAATTTTGCAAGTCATGAAACTATACTCAAGGATGTGCTCATCAATACCTATATATACTCATATAGGACATCAACTAATGTTGTTAGAAGTATGAATAAAATAAATGGCAATGAGTAGATATTAGCAAGATGATCCCGGTCTCAGTTCTATCGGAGCCTAGACTGGCCAGCAGTTATCAGCATTTTTCTATAAATCACGTTGTATATCATATCTTCAAATGAAAGGAATTATGCTGAGGTTACGTATCTGATTGAGGGTAACGATGGGAACGACATTTAGAATGAAAGGGCCAACTGAGACTGAAAGCTGACCATTCATCTGAATTATCACTTTCTTTTCGTACAGTTAAAATGTATTATATATATATATATATCAATAGATAAATCTGCTGAAGTAAATCCAATAAATTGCGGTAGACGTTCACTTTGTCGTATCGTTGACTTTATGATATGATTCAGAATATTATCTACTTTTTTTTTGTCTTTTGTCTCGGAAATATTCGAAAAAGTAAATAATATCATATGTATAAATTCTATTAAATATTTTTCATTTTATAAAAAATTTATATTAACATATTTTGTTTTAAATTTAAGAATTATTGCACATGATACATTGTATAATTTAATAACTTATCAAAGAATTCAATTAATTGTAAATGAATGTATTTATGGTCAACCAATATGGAATAATCCAACTATTTTATCATCATCGGTTAGCGTTTTATTTTGTATTTGTGATGAATATTCTGTTGGTATGTAATAAATAATGTAGAAAAATAAAAATAAAATAATTCAATTTCACTTCTTATTTTAGGAGAATATTGCGATAGATCAGTTAATTGTGCTGATATGACTGCTTGCCTATTAAATTTTCTTCCAAATATAACATGTACAACTAATATAACTGAAATATCATTAAATTCTACACAAACACCATATCGATGTGTACATAGCATAACACATATATCTTGTTCGAATGATTCAGCATGTTGTAGACAAGGTTATCAATTTCATAGCGATGTACAACAATGTTTATGTATGAACTATTCTATTTAAAATTAAATTTTTTTTTTTTCTTTATGATTTTTTTTGTTTTTCTAGTTCGACCAGTTTGTAATGATTCGATATGTGGTGCAAATAATACTTGTCAAAATTCTGAACTAAAACCTAATGGATATATTTGCATGTGTAATAGTGATCAAATTTTTAATGGAACAACATGTGTTCGTATGTATTTCTTTTTATGTAGTTAAAGTTATTCAATAAAAAACATACTTGTTTATAATAGAAAAGAAAATTTGTGATGATGCATCATTATATCCAAATAGTATTTTACCATGTACGGGACAATTTGAGGAAGCTATTGATTCAGGAAATCAATGTATATGCCAATGTCGGTTAGATTTCACAAATTCATCAAATGGTTGCATAAGTAGTAAGCTATATAGAATAAAATTAGAAGACAAATAGGTTATTTTTTGTTTTACATTGAATAGCATCGACAAATATTACATGCAATAATACGACTAATGTCTGTTATAATACCTTAACACCATTAAATGTTTTCTGTCAATATCGAATACTAACTTACAATAATAGTGCCAATACATGTCAAAGTATAGACTCTAATATTCAACATATTGATTAAATTTAATATAAATATTTTTTAAGACACTCTTTGTTTAAACTATTGTGGAAATGGTAATTGTTCAGTTCGTGAAAATGGATATACTTGTAGTTGTCCTCCTGGAACATATCTTGATTATACGTTAAATTGTGCTGGTAAATAAAAAAAAACAGATATATATATATATATATACATTTATTTATTTATTTATTGAATATATAAATATGATAATATTTATTATTTAGTATGTGAAAATGGATCAGCTGGTCCTAATTGTTCATTACTATGTGATTGTGAATTTGGAGAATGTAATATTAATGCAACAAGTGAAACAAATAAATGTTTATGTGCAAGTGGTTATAGAGGTTCAAAATGTGATCAACAAATTAATTATTGTGATCCACGTATATTATTCAATTTAATATTTAATTTATTAAATTTTATTTTATTTTATTTTTTCGTTCAGAGAACGATTCTTGTAATGCAGTTGCAACAAATCGAGTTTGTAAACTTACACCAACTAATCGTGATACATTTAAACAAATGAATGCTTATGATTGTATTTGTAAAAATGGATATCAACCAGCATCAGTAAATGGTAGTTGTCAAGGTATTAGTTTTTAAAATAAACCAAACGACAAAAAAAAACAGATGTTCATTGTTTTTGTTATAGATATTGATGAATGTAAACTGGCTTCTACACAAGAAAATATTTGTCCAGAGGATACGACATCATGTCATAATTTAAATGGTTCATATCTTTGTGTTTGTAATGAAGGTTATGTAAAAGATGATGCAGGAGTAAATAAAAAAAAAAAAAAACTATCATTGAAATTTTATTTATATGAAATATTTGTTTTATTTTTATTTTCAAGAATACTGATGCATGTGTTGATAAAAATGAATGTACAACTAATGCGTCTGTATGTAGACCATATAACAATTCCTATTGTGTTAATCTTAGACCACATTATGAATGTCGTTGTTTGTTTGGTTATGCACCAGATGGTAATTATCTTGTTTTTTTGAAAAACAAAAATATCTTATTTATTTATTTTGTTTTTAAATAAAAATTTAATTTATTTAAGGTGATTATAATCAAATTTATGTAGCTTTACAAGGTAATCAAACATGTCAAATTTATGATCAATGTGCTGCAAATCGTGTTGATTGTGGTGGTGGAACATGTACTAATAATACAAATTTAAATGGCTCATTACCTACTTGTTATTGTAGTAATTCATTAACACTTATTCAACTATCTATAGGAAAATATGACTGTATTTGTCCATCTAATACACATTATTATAATGGAGGAATATGTACAATTCGACCTGATCCTGGATTAGGTAATATTCTATTTGATAAGAATTCTTCTTTTTCTTAAATTTATATTAAATATTTTTAATAAAAAAAGGTCTTGGTGGAGAATCAATATTTCTTGTTAAAGTCGATTGTAATAATGCAACTGCTATACTCAATGAAGTATGATTTTGTTTTTTCTATCTTTAAATATTATTGTATTATATACTTTTTAAAATAGATAATAAGAAGATTTAATGAAACATTCAAATCTCCATACAACATTACAATTCGAAACAATACAGCGGAGTATGTAAAAATATATATTTAAAAAAAATAATAAACAACTAAATAATACAAAATAAATATTTATTTTTCAATTTAGTTGTGATGAATCGGGTCAACAAGAGTTATTATTTGATATTAAAACTGATGACAATATAACATTACAAAATGATGTCTTCGAAATACTTGAAAATATAACAAGAGATCTTAATCTTGTTCTTTATACTACTGGTATATGTAACAATAGAACAGGTAAATAATCATTTTCTATTTATATAGATCTTATTTTTAACGAACTGAATTTTTATTTAAATTGATTCTACTATAATCTATAATTTTCTTAACTCTTACAATAATATCACTTTTAATATTATTCTTCTACTTGAAGATTATAACTATTGATATAATTAAAAAATTTGATCTTTATTGAGATATACTACTATTGTATAGTCTAGCAGAAAACAATGTAATTTTGTGTTTGAACTTAATTTGGACTACTTTAAACTATTTAAAAATCTCTCCAGTTATTTACAACTACTTTAAAATTTCATAATATAACCGCAATGGCACATTCTAGATATTATGACTGTAAATCATTTTGTTTCTGTTAATCAATTATATAACAAAAAAAAACTAAATCTTCATCACTTTAAATTAATCGGATACTCAGTCGACCAGTTAGAACTACGACTAGTGCATACTTTTAAAAAAACAAAAAGCTCAATACATATAAGATAAAAAGAAAATTATAGAAATATTTAAAAGAAACAAGATAAAAAAGAAAAACATAGATGATCCTCGAAGGAACATCGTACGTCAAGTCGAAAAGTATTTTAAAGTACATCTTCATACTTTGAACGACTATTGTAGTTTGATGTATTCTTCAACTTGAAGTATACTGTTTCCCTCTAGTACACACTATATAAGATAATGAATTTTACTAGGACGGCTTTATTGCAAATGTACTAGTGATAGTTATGTGAATCGACATATTATTTTCATACTTTACTCTATGATGAAAGTACAACACTCTAAATATAATTAGAGAGTAAAGTAGATTAATAAGAATGTTGTATTTCTTCGTACAATATACAGATCATAATCTATATATATATATATTCAAAAGTTTTTTTTGTCATTCAGATGGTTTTTTTGTCTTTCACTTAAATTAATCTTGCTAAAATTTTGCTTGATGACTATTTTTATTTTGATATTTAGAATTAGTGAAAAATGTCACATCATGTTATTTAATTGATCTATGTGATCTATGTGGTGGAGATATAAAACGTGGTATATGTTTACCAGAAAGTGGTTTAAGTAGATGTATATGTTTTTCTAATGATGCTGATCCATCAAGACCGTATACTGGTGAATTTTGTTATCCTGTAGAACCAACATCAACATCAACTTCATCTCCACCTTTATCTTCATCTTCATCTTCACGTTGGATACCAATTGTTGTTGGTGTTCTAGCTGGTCTTGCTGGTTTATTTTGTGCTGTCACATGTTGTTTATTAGCTTTAGCTGCTTGGCGTCGTCGAAGACGACATCCACCTGATGAGTAAGTTTTAATTCTTTTTTCTTTCTCTATTTTAAAAATTCATATGAAAAAAAAAACACTCATAATTAAACAGAGATGAATTACGAATTCGTCGTATTTGGCATTTACCAAGAGCACAAGTACCAGCAACTGTTACAGCTGAAAATGTTGAAACATATTTAAAGAGTACTTCATCTTCTACAAATTCAACATCAAGTCCACCTGAAGATTCAACATTAGATAGTGATCGTTCAACATATCGAACAACTTATGATTATGATCCAAATGGTACTGTAAATAGTGCATTTTTTAAACAACTTGATCAAAATATGGGTGCAAAATTACGTGCAACAATAACAAGACCTGATACAAATGCTATTTTATCAAGTTTACCAACTTCAACAACAAAATCATCATCATCATCAACAAATATAACATCAAATAGTGATGATCCAATTGATGAACTTGATGCTATTATTGATGATGAAGATATAGCAATGACATTTCATGATCCATTAGATGATCTTTTTCAAGATAATCAAATGCTTGAAGTTATTAATCCAAATTTAAAATTACCACGTCCACAAATTGATTCAAAACCAACAGGTCTTTTTTCGGTAAGATATTTTCTTGTTCTTATTTTTATTTTTCATCTTTATCTATTTTGTTTAGCTTTTAAATTGATATTGATAAAGTGCGGGTCGCTTCAAAAAAAAACAAAGTGCTTATTATAGGTTTTCTTTTGGTGATATTTCTCACTGGTGATCTTTTTCTTTTTGATTTTATTCATAAGCACATCTATCTGTTGTGTTTTGTTTTATTCTATTACTAATCCCTGTGAATTTAACACTTTTCCTTTATTTTCATTCTTTTTTTTTGTGTTGTAATCTCTTCGTGTAATATTATTAAAAAAAACAAAAAAAAAAAAAAGCAAAGTGCAAGAGAATATAAATCAAATAAATAATCATTTATTATTAAGAAAAATAATAAATATCATTCCATTTTAATTCATCTATTATTATTTTACCATTAATAACAGTACATTCAAGATTATCAATAATGTCAGCAACATTTCGTATATATTCCGATGTTGTTGCTTAACTATAATAGGTATGATATATACCATCAGATAAAATCTATTCTGTCTATGTTGTTCTTATATCAGATTTTGGTTTCCAAAAAACACATTTCACAAGTAAATTTGATAAAGGATATAATCATTCAATAGCATATTTCGAGTATATAAACATCAAGTACTATTTCATTATTTGTTTCCAAATAATATGTATAATCTATCATAAATGAATAATCACCTTTATTTAAATCAATACTCATTACTTTAAGAACTCGAACAATCGCTGCAGTTTTCTAATCACCTTCAACACTAAATCCATAATCATCTTTCATTAATCGTTGTACAACAATTTCGGGTTATTATTGAAGATCAAGAAGATCTAAATTAGTTGAAGATATATAAAAATGTTTTGAAAAGAAAAAATAATATTCAATTCAAATGTATCCGTAAAATCTTTATAGTTTTCTTTTTCAAGAAATTTTTAAAGACCAAGTTCAATTTTAGCTGCTTCTCTTAATGATTGATGTTTTTCGTTTTTTGTTTTTAATTCATTAACTATTCTATATTGTTATTCATATTCTTGACATCATTTATCAATATCATTTTCATTAACTTGTTCAATTTCTTTTTTTAAATCATTAATACTACATATATTTACTAGATAACCAAATTTAAGTTCAGCTTCAACTTTATCACCATAAGTAGCGGATATATTATGCATTTTATCATCAAACTATGTACTTTGTCAATCAGTCCAAGTACATGCTACACATATCCATATATTTAAATGTTCTCTCACTTGTTTTTTCTTTTCAATAGAAATATTTCAAAATTATCTGACCAAACCTTTCGATTATTTTATCCTCATTGAATATTTTTGATATACTAAAAATAAACGAAAATTATTAAATATGGATATATATTGAAATAACAAGTTATCGCAGCTTATTAATTTGACAGAATGTTCATTCATTTTTCAGCCTCTTAAAAGTGCCTACAAAAGTTTGAAAATATTAAGTTTATATCGAAATTTTATGTTGTTTTCGAATATTGGTAAAACATTTTTTTGAGGACTTTTCACTAAGAAATTATGAGTCAATCTTTTATAGGCGCGAAAATTAAGTTTAGATGAAGAAAACTCATACTTTTCTACAACAATAATCTACTTCATTGTATACGTTATATTAACAGTCTGTTTGACATAGAATTAAATGCAAAATGATTCTACAAAATTATATAAGCATCAAGAGTTGCAGAATAATCATTCAGACATGACCAAGTTCCGTTTGAAAGTCTGTTTATCGTAGAAATCAAGAAAATGACCTAAATTAACACAATGTACTTTACTTGAACATTCACTGTTGACAAATGACTTGGAGCAAACTATTCATTAGTATACTATTTTATAGAGAAATGTTTGCTCTTTCATTTGTTGTATTTGAAGTAATTTGTGCTTCTACTTTAGATAAGTTTTGGCGAGCTAAAATTTTTGATATTGACCCACCGTTCTTAAATTTCTACAGGTTTCTTTCAGAAGCTGAAAAATGAACAAACATTTTGTTAAATTACTTTTTGATAGTCCATTATGTGCAGACAATATCTAAGTTTTCTTTTTATTTTTTTCATTCATTTTATTTTTTCGATCTACGAAATCATTTAGAGCCAACTCTGACTAATTGTTATTTGAGATAAGAAAAAAGAATTATCACTTCTAGTGAACATTATTAAGCTCCAATTTATTTGATAAAACTGACGAAGATATCCATAATAAAGAACATAATACATTAACCTTTGTTTCTAGTCAATTTTTACACTTTTAATTATATAATAAGCAGTTACAGAAAATTTCAAAGACTCTATGCTGATAGAAAGCAATTAAATAGCATATGACTG